CACTCTGGGAGGCCGAGGCGGGCGGATTGCTCAAGGTCAGGAGTTCGAAACTAGCCTGAGCAAGAGCGAGACCCCGTCTCTACTATAAAATTAGAAAGAAATTAATTGGCCAACTAATATATATATATACAAAAAATTAGCCGGGCATGGTGGTGCATGCCTGTAGTCCCAGCTACTCGGGAGGCTGAGGCAGTAGGATTGCTTGAGCCCAGGAGTTTGAGGTTGTTGTGAGCTAGGCTGACGCCATGGCACTCACTCTAGCCTGGGCAACAAAAGCGAGACTCTGTCTCAAAAAAAAAAAAAAAAAAAAACGATTCTCCTGCCTCAGCCTCCCGAGTAGCTGTGACTATAGGCACACGCCACCTTGCCTGGCTAATTTATTTATTTATTTATTTATTTATTTTGTAGAGATAGGGTGTCACTCTTGCTCAGGCTAGTCTCGAACCCCTGACCTCAAGCAATCCTCCTGCCTTGGCCTCTTAGAGTGCTAGGATTACAGGTGTGAGCCACTGTGTCAGCTGAAAAGTTTTTTTTACATAGGTGAATTTGGTTTATATGTATATAGTCTTGTATGCTCTCCATTTTTTGATTTTGTCACATTTTTTCTTTTGTTACTAATTTATTATTTTCTTATTTCTTCCCTTTACCCCCATGTCTGCCCCTACTGTTTTCTTAAGATTTTGGATGTTTTGTAGTTTGATTTTAACTCTTTTAGAGATAACTTTTATATTTTAAATACTATACTTACGCATGTGTACCTTTTTGTAAATTTCAAAATAGTAATATTAAGGGGGTACAAATGTTTTTATTATATGGATAGCTTTTAAAATGCTTAAGTCAGAGCTGTTGGTGTGCCCATCACCTGAATAGTTCATTGTACCTGTTAGATTTTTACCTACCCTTTCCCCCTTTCTCCCTTCTTGATTTCCAATGAATTTTACTTCTCTCTGGGCCCATGAGTGCCCATCAATCAGTTCCAAATTGTTAGAAAGCATATATGTTTGTTTTTCTATTCCTGGGATACTTCACTTAGGATAATGGTCTCCAGTTCTATCCAAATTGTTGCAAAAGGCATTACAATTCATTTCTTTTTATGGCTGAGTAGTACTCCATGGTGTGTGTGTGTGTGTGTGTGTGTGTGTGTGTGTGTGTGTATATATATATATATATATACACACACACACCACATTGTGTTAATTCGCTCATAAATTGATGGGCACTTAGGTTGACTCCACATCTTTGCAATTGTGAATTGTGCTGCAATAAACATTAGGTACAGGTGTCTTTTTGATAAAAACGACTTCTTTTCCTTTGGGTACATACCCAGCAGTGGGATTGCTGGATCAAATGATAATCTACTTTTAGCTCTTTGATACTAATTTGCAGTCCCAACAACAGTGTGTAAGTGTTCCTTTCTCTCTGCATCCATGCCAGCATCCATTGTTTTTTGGCTTTTTAATAATAGACATCCTGAGAGGTGTAAGGTGATATCTCATTGTGGTTTTAATTTGTACTTCCCTGATGGTTAGTGACGTTGAGGATTTTTTTCATGTTGGCTATTCGTCTATCTTCTTTTGAAAAGCTTCTATTCACGTCTTTTCCCCACTTATTAATGTGGCTGTTTGTCTTTTTCTTGCCGATTTGTTTGAGTTCTTTGTAGACTCTGGATCTACAGATGTATAGTTTATGAATATTTTCTCCCATTCAGTAGGTTGTCTATTTGCTCTGTTGATTATTTCCTCAGCTGTCCAAAAACTTTTTAATTTAGTCTAGTACCATTTATTTTTGCTGTTTCTGTATTATGTATTTCTCAGTTTATCAACTTTAAAGATGCAATTAGCTCATTTAACACTAACTTTAACCTCCTTTTCATCTGCCTATCCTCTTCCCAATGGTCTTTTTGCTTTTCTTTTCGCTTTTTTGGCATGGATGTCTGAAAAATTCATTCTTTTTCCTTGAAGTTCAATACTATCACCAACATATGTCCCAGTATTGATCATCATATGCAATTTTTTCCTAGGACTTAGTAGGAAACTTAAAGTTTCTTTTTAAATTGTAGGTTTAATTCTTCCTTATCTATTTATTACTTTTCTGTTATTTGTTTTGTTAGAGATAACAACAGACATTATTGTGTTGGATTTTCACTGTCAATCTTCAAATTCCATTACTTTCTAATTGCTTTCATCGCTTTCTTCTCTTAATTGGTATAATTTTTTCACTTCAATATGTTATCCTATCCCCTAAATCTCCCTTTTCATCTCATTATCGTATCAACTTTTATCTCAATACACTTCATGTCTTCTAAAATTATTCAGAGTATAAAATGTTTAGGAAAAATTTTCTTGTATCTTCTAGAGCATGCTTGTACAGATTATATTTCCATCTTTCTTTTGCAAGCTATGTCACCCATACTACCCACTGCAGAGTTGCAATGTTTTGTTGCTTAGTCTTATTATTATTTTTTTTTTTATTTGAGACAGAGTCTCACTTTGTTGCCCAGGCTAGAGTGAGTGCCGTGGCATCAGTCTAGCTCACAGCAACCTCAAACTCCTGGGCTCAAGCAATCCTGCTGCCTCAGCCTCCCGAGTAGCTGGGACTACAGGCATGTGCCACCATGCCCGGCTAATTTTTTTTTTTTCTATATTAGTTAGCCAATTAATTTCTTTCTATTTATAGTAGAGACGGGGTCTCGCTCTTGCTCAGGCTGGTCTCGAACTCCTGACCTCGAGCAATCCGCCCGCCTCGGCCTCCCAGAGAGCTAGGATTACAGGCTTGAGCCACCGCGCCCGGCCAGTCTTATTATTTTTTTGTGTGGTAAAAATCATATGACATTAATTTTACCATCTTAACCGTTTTAAGTGTACAGTATATTCACACTGTTGTACTAAATTATACCCACACTAAATACTAATTCTCTGTCTACTGTCCCCGCAGCCCTTGGTAACTACCTGGCTACTTCCTCTTTCTACGATTTCAACTACTTCAGATAATTCATATGAGTGGAATCATACTGTATTTGTCCTTTGTGACTGGCTTATTTTGCTTAGTATATTGTCCTCAAGATTCATTCCTCATGTAGCATGTGACAAGATTTCTTTCTTTCTTAAGGCTGCACAATATCCCCTTTTATGTATATAACATATTTTATTATATTTCTAGTCAACAAATAGTAATTCACATTTTCTAAATACATTCATCTGTTGATGAACATTTGGATTGCTTCCACCTCTTGACTATTGTGAATAAATGCTATGATAAACATAGGTGTGCAGATCTCTTTTTGAGATCCTCCTTGAATTCCTTTTTTTTTTTCTTGAGACAAGGTCTTGCTCTGTTGCCTTGGCTAGTGTGCCACGGCATCATCATAGCTCACTGCAACCTCAAACTCTCGGGCTGGAACTACAAACATGCACCACCACGCCCAGATAATTTTTCCAGTTTTTATAGAGACAGGTACTTGCTATGTTGCTGAAGCTGGTCTTGAACTCCTGGCCTCAAGTGATCCTTCTGCCTTGGCCTCTCGGAGTGCCTTAATCATAGGTGTGAGCCACTGTACCAGGTGGTTATATGCTCAGATGTGGGATTGCTGGATCATATGGTAATTCTTTTTAATTTTTTGAGGAACCTCCACTATTTTCCATAATGCCTGTACCATTTTACATTCCCACCAAGAGTGTACAATGTTTCCAATTTCTCTGCATGAGTAGCAACACTTGTTATTTTCTGTCCTTTTGAAAATGGCCTTCCTAGTAAGTGTGAGGTAGTATCTCACTGTGGTTTTGATTTGCATTTCTATTATGATTAGAGATGTTGACCATCTATTCATATGCTTATTAACCATTAGTATATCATCTTTGAAGAACTGTCTATTCAAGTCCTTTGCCCATTTTAAAATAAGGTTGGTTGTTTACTTCTTGTTGAGTTGCAGAAGTTCCTTATATATTCTGGATATTAACCCCTTATCAGATATGTGATTTACAAATATTTTCTCCCATTCTGTAGGTTGCCTATTCATGCTCAAAATTTATTGTTTCCTCTGGCATGTAGAAGTTTTCAAGTTTGCTACAGTCTCATTTGCTTACTTTTGCTTTTGTTGCCTGTGCTTTTGGTGTCATATCCAAGAAATTGTTGCCAAGTTCAATGTCCTGCAGCTTGTCCCCTATGTTTTCTTCTAGGAGTTTTATAGTTTTAGTTGTTACATTTATGTTTCTACTCCATTTGAGTTAATTTTTCTATATGGTGTAAAGAAAGGTTCTATTTCATTCTTTCGAATATGGATACTCACTTTTCCCAATACCATTTATTGAAAAGACAATTATTTCCCCATTGTGTAGTCTCGGTACCCTGGTCAAAAATCATTTATTTTGTACACTCTTGATATAAGCAGTTGAACCAAGACTATTTTCAAAATACAGTTTAAGTAGATTAGCTCCTTTCTCCCTTTCTCTCCTTACCTAGGTACTCTTCTATTTTACTCTAAGAAGTACAGCTTGACAGGTAGTAATGATCTGTGTTCTATATGCTTTTCTTTTGTCAGAAAAAAGGGGCCATAAAAAATATAAATAAATTTGATTTTGGTTCTGTTTTATTGCAATTTTTTAAAAGTTTATATTATATTTATGCTGTATCTTTGTAACAGTCTTTTGGAATACCTTTAGGTTTTCCCTATTTTAGTATTGAGACATGTTTCACTTCCAATAGATATCAGCCTTACATATTTATTTGTAATGTTTTTCTAAGTTGCTATTATTTTTTTCCAGAAGTAATAATTATTTTACAAATCAATACAAATATCCACAAAGATAAAGTAGTAGCATTGAAAGTATTTGCATAAGAAAGCAAAAAAAAATGAACCTTTATTTAAATCATGGGGCCATATTCTCATCAGAATGAAATGGAAACACACATACACTGACACTCATGTACACACAAAGACACAGGTACACATACACACACACACACACACAGAGAAACACACACACACCTCTCAATCCCATTACCTTCAATATCTATCTGTAAGGATTTTTCATCTTCTGGCCAGGCTTGCATAGGAACTGTCGTCTTACTATGGATCTTCTCTTTCTGTTTAATGGCTTTAGTGTCTGGTAGGTCTTTAATCTTTGTGTCTTGTACTTGAGCTGAGTGCTCTGCAGCAGTAACATCACTGGAATCTAAAAGAGGGAAATTAATACATTATACAAAAAGGAAGCTGACGATTTCATTTTTTTTTTTTTTGGAGACAGGTCTCACTGTTGCCCAGGTGGGAGTGCAGTGATGTGATCATAGCTCACTGTAACCTTGACTTCTTAGACTTAAGTGATCCTCCTGCCTCAGCTTCTTGAATAGCTGGGACTACAGGCATTGCATCACAACACTTGGATAATTTTTTTATTTTTTATAGAGACAAATTCCTGGCCTCAAGAGATCCTCCTGCCTCAGCCTCCCAAAGCGCTGGGATTACAGGTGTGAGCCAATGCACCTGGCCAACAAAAAATATTTAAAAGGGCCGGGCGCTGTGGCTCACGCCTGTAATCCTAGCTCTTGGGAGGCCGAGGCGGGCGGATTGCTCAAGGTCAGGAGTTCGAAACCAGCCTGAGCAAGAGCGAGACCCCGTCTCTACTATAAATAGAAAGAAATTAATTGGCCAACTGATATATATATAAAAAATTAGCCGGGCATGGTGGCGCATGCCTGTAGTCCCAGCTACCCGGGAGGCTGAGGCAGAAGGATCACTCGAGCCCAGGAGTTTGAGGTTGCTGTGAGCTAGGCTGACGCCACGGCACTCACTCTAGCCTGGGCAACAAAGCGAGACTCTGTCTCAAAAAAAAAAAAAAAAAAAAAAAAATATTTAAAAGGACCTCTTAAGCATCTATTATGTAAAGGCTTTGTTACCAGTGTTAAGAAAAAAATTAAAAAATCACTCAGAAATGTGTTTTAAAAACAATCTAAATTGGGGTCAAAAGTCACGTACATAAATAGATGTCATACTAAGTTAAAGAATTACAGCACAAAAGAGAAAGATAAAAAGGTATAATATTCAATAGGGGAAAACTAATTCTAGCTAGGAGTATCACACAGACAATTGACTTGGACATTAGGAGACAGCTAAGATGGGATATACATTGAGATGAAAAGAAAAAGGCATTTAGGCAAAAGTACACAAGACAAACATAATATAAAAAATACATAACAAAAGACAAAACAAAGACATAACAAAACAATACATAACAAAAGAATGGAGTCAGGAAAGCAACTGAGCAATCAAGAAATAGTGCAAGTATGTGGTTTATTTGATTATAGAATTTATGAGGAAAAGAAGTAAAAATTAGCATTCTAAAGGTTGTTTGGGAGCTGATTCTGCTGTTCTGGAAGACTATGTTAAAAGAGTTTAGATTTTATCCTTAAGGCAACGGAAACTAAAGTTTTTGATTAGGAGACTAATGTGATCAAAACTGTTTCTGGACCATTTAGCAACAATAAAAAAGGGGTAAAATTTTGAAGTGTTGCCCAAAATACAATCTGCCATTTTTAGAAAAGCAATACGTAAGAAAGAGAAGTGGCTAACTATGCTCTAAAATATGTTTCTAGTTTATAATTGTGGCAGAAACTGCCATCTGTCCTCTAATATCCATTTTTCTTTTTCTCTAAAATAGAACCCTAACTTTAGCTGGGCATATGGGTACCTGAATAAAGACTATTTCCCAGCCTCCCTGGCAACTTAGCTTGGTGTGACCATGTGTCTAAGTCTGACCAATAGGATGTAAGAAGAATGGTAAATGTAACTTCTGAGACTATCTGTAAAGGAAAAAATATGCTTTTTCTTTCCCTTTCTTCCTGCTTGCGGAATAGGGGCTGATGGCTTCAGATTGAGAATGGAGGCCAAAAGTGTTAAGAGTAACAGGAGAGTAAGAGCTTTGTTTCCTGAATACTCTGGAGCACCATATCAACACTGGATGCCTACCTCTGGGTTTTTATGAGATAGAGAAATAATCTTCTGTCCTCTTTAAGCCAATGTTATTTTGTTTTTAGTTTCATCCCTCAAAGCCAAAACTAATCCTAACTGAACACGTTATTATAGACATTTTTAACCAGAATAATCCAAATGAAGTAAAATAACCAGAAAAGTGGGAAGTAAACAAGCTGCATTCCAAAGGAATAAAGGATTATATGAAACAACGGTATTATAGAGTCAGTATCTCATGGTGTTGAAATAATTTTTTCAGCAGAGGTAAAAGTCCATTACGTGAATTTCTGGCAATGAGATTAATTTGTTTACTATATCCAAAAGTTTTCTAGAAATATCTCAGAGAGCTTTAAATAGGCCAGTTTTATATGCTAAAGTATATAAAAAATGTAGCTTAACTATTTTAAATATGAACAAACTAAAGGAGGATTAGAGATAGCAAAAAGAGAATAGAGAATACATTTCTGTTTATAGTCTTAAAGGAACAGTCTCATTTTAGAAGACCAGAAGAAAATTATATGCAGACAATACAGTTTAGCTACCTGCAGTGTCTTTCTGCAAGGATTCTTTTTCTTCAGGCTGGGCAACTTTAGTCACTTCACTTGTACTAATGATTTCTTCTTTCTGTTTTTTGTTTGAGAGGTCTTCATCACCAATAATAGCTACTTGAACTGAAGCATCTGGAATAACAACATCATTTGATCTCACAGAGAAGAAAAACATAAACATCATAGATAAGTAACTCCCTCCAAAAAACACCCACAAACAAAATTTCAAACCTTTATATTAGGAAAAAAGCACCTAATTATATTATATATAATATTAATTATATTTCCTTTATATTAGGAAAAAAGCACCTCTTAGGCTCCACTATGTAAAAACTATGATGTAAATTAGAAAGTTTTCCATATTTTTTAGTGTACAAAAAATTAAATATAATAATACTTTAAATAAAATTTATTCTTTGATGGCTTGATGATAGGCCTGGGGCAGTAGCTCATGCCTGTAATCCTAGCACTTTGGGAGAAGAAGCAGGAGGATCGCTTGAGGCCAGGAGTTTGAAACTAGCCTGAGCAACAGAGACCCTGTCTCTACAAAAGAAAAAAAAATTTAACCAGCATGGCAATGGCAGCACATACCTGTAGGAGGCTGAGGCAGGAGGATAACTTGAGCAGTGGCTATGACCACGCTATGAGCACCCCAGCCTGGGCAACAGAGTAAGATCCTTTATTTCTCTTAAAAAACAAACAAACACATATATATGTGTGTGTGTGTGTGTGTGTGTGTCTGTCTCTCTCTCTTTCTCTCTCTCTATATATAGAGAGAGGTATGTTTTTCAAAGTAAAAAAGTAGATTTGAATAGTGCTATCAAGTTTTTTGGCCTAGTCAAAGTTTTTATCACTTATGGAGCCAATTTTGGTAATTCATATAATCTAAGAAAAGCATTTATATCATCTATATTTTATATATAGCATTCTTATATAACTTTTTAAAATTTCATGTGGTTACAGCTTTTTAAATTTGTCTAATATTTTCTATTTCTCTTTTCTTTCTGTTTTTCTTGATCATTTTTCATTTCCTATCTGTGAGTAGGAACACTCCTCAACAGAGAAATCAGAAAGGGAACAGAGATTACTAAAAATACAACAAACACCAGTCTTGTTATTTACCATGCTACCCCTTTTAAATTTATTCATTTTTCTAATTTCTATTATTCCAATCTTCCTAATCTCTCAATGTCTTCTGATATTTGTAGATCATTAAAATTTTTTTAATGTTAACAAAATATTTCAGGAATTCTAAAAGTATATAACAGAATGAACACCAAAGTATCTTCCATAGAGCTTAAGAAAGAAAACATTGTAGATATAATGATTTCCTGTGTAAGGTCTCAATGATGCCATTCTCTCTTCTCAAGAGTAACCTTTATACTGAATTTAGAGTTTTTCAATCTCAAGGATGTTTTTTAACTCTTTACTACACTGCATATAATAATCAACAATGTACAGTTATTGTTATGCATGTCTCTAAACTTTATATAAAAAGTATATAATACTGTATGTACCTTTAAGCAACATGCCTTTTTCACTCAATGTGATTTTGAGATTTCACCACATTAAGATATGTGACTCTGATGCCAATATTAGGTAGTACTCTACTGTATTAAAGTATCAATTCACCTGCTGATCAATTTAAAGCTTCGAAAAGTATTAAAAAGCTTTTTAGTATTGAAAAGCACTACAATGACCATTTTTGTAAAATTTCTTTTTTTGAGACAGAGACTCACTCTGTTGCCCGGGCTAGAGTGGCAGCAGCCTAACTCACAGCAACCTCAAACTCCTAGGCTCAAGTGATCCTCCTGCCTTAGCCTCCCAAGTAGCTGGGACTACAGGCATGCACCACCATGCCCGGCTAATTTTCTTTATATATATATTTTAGTTGTGCAGCTAATTTCTTTCTATTTTTTTAGTAGAGACAGGATCTTGCTCTTGTTTGGGCTGGTCTCGAACTCCTGAACTCAAATGATCCTCCTGCCTCAGCTTCCCAGAGTGCTAGGATTACCACGCCCGGCCTGTAAAATTTCTTTGTAGGTTGTATGAGTTTCAAATATCTTCTCTCAGTCTGTGTCTTGCCTTTTAATTGCTTATGGTTAACTCTTTTTTTTTTTTTTTGAGACAGAGTCTCACTCTGTTGCCCTGGCTAGAGTGAGTGCCAGGACGTCAGCCTAGCTCACAGCAACCTCAAACTCCTGGGCTCAAGCAATCCTCCTGCCTTAGCCTCCCGAGTAGCTGGGACTACAGGCATGTGCCACCATGCCTGGCTAATTTTTTCTAGTATTACTTGGCCAATTAATTTCTTCCTATTTATAGTAGAGACGGGGTCTTGCTCTTGCTCAGGCTGGTTTCAAACTCCTGACCTCGAGCAATCCTCCCGCCTCGGCCTCCCAGACTGCTAGGATTACAGGCGTGAGCCACCGCGCCCGGCCTATGGTTAACTCTTATGCACACAATTTTCATTTTAATAATGTTGATTTGATTACATTTTTCCTTTAGGATCTGTGCTTTGTGTGTCTTGTTTAAGAAATCCTTAATTATCTCATGGTTATAAGGATAGACCATCTAAGTTCTAAAAGTTTAAAGTTTTCCTTTTTACATTTAATATTCCTGGAATACTGTATATTTTGATTTAGGTGCAGTAGTGATTTATGTGATTTTATTTTTTTCCTCCATATATAATCAGTAGTCCAAACATTATTGAATCATTGATCTTCACTCTTTCTCTATGTGTTATTATGCTATTTCTGTGTATATTAAGTCTCCACATTCATGGGTGTGTTTCTGAGTAACCACTCTGCTTCATTTTTCTTTCTGTGTATTCCTTTGCAAATGGTGTCTTAAATAAACTACATGTATAATTAAGTGTTGGTGTCTGATATGGCAAGTTTCCTTACCTTATTCTTTAAATGGACTTTTAGATTTTCCATAAAAATTTTACAATCAGCCTGTCAAATTCCATGAAAAATCCTATTGGAATTGAGTAGCAATGCATTGGATTTAGTAATTAATTTGGGAGAAATGACATCTTAAATTTATTATTACGTTTGTATAATCCTCCAATTATTTAGGTCTTCCTTAATATATTTCAATGTAGTTTTATAATTTTCTCTAAAAGAGTTTTGCACGTCCTTTTTAGACATTTCTAATACCTTAATTTATTTTTTTAAAAGATCTCTTTTATTGTGTAGAAAAACATGCAGAAAATGCATAAATATAGAGCTCAGTGAATTACCAATAAGCAAGTGTATATAACCTTACGTAGGCCAAGAAATAAAATCTGGCTAGATGCCTACATACTCACCCCATTTTTCCTTCCTACCTCCTTTGTGCTGAGGGTAACACTTACTTGATTTTAATACAACAAACTAGTTTCGAATATTTTTTCAACTTTTTATGGAATAATATAGCATTTTTATTATGTCACTTTTTTCTCCTACGTTGTTTGCAAGATTAAGTGTTGTTACATGTATTTATCCTTCACTCATTCTCATTTGCTAATTAGTATTTAACAGTGTTAGTATTCCATAATTTATTCACTTCACTGGATAAACTGGGCATCTGGGTAGTTTCCAGTTAGGAGATATTAGAAATAATGCTATGAAGAATATTTGTATATGTCTTTTTTTTTTTTTTTTTTTTTGAGACAGAGTCTCACTTTGTTGTCCAGGCTAGAGTGAGTGCCGTGGCATCAGCCTAGCTCACAGCAACCTCAAACTCCTGGGCTCGAGTGATCCTTCTGCCTCAGCCTCCCGAGTAGCTGGGACTACAGGCATTCGCCACCATGCCCGGCTAATTTTTTATATATATATCAGTTGGCCAATTAATTTCTTTCTGTTTATAGTAGAGACGGGGTCTCACTCTTGCTCAGGCTGGTTTTGAACTCCTGACCTCGAGCAATCCGCCCGCCTCGGCCTCCCAAGAGCTAGGATTACAGGCGTGAGCCACAGCGCCTGGCCTGTATGTCTTTTGATGCTTGTGTGAATCCCCTTCTGTTGAGTACACAGTTAGGTACAGAACTGCTAGGTCATATAGCTTATGCTTTTTGTATAATTTAGTAGATAATACCAAACTGCTTTCAAAGTCATTATACCAATGTATACTGTCACCAGCAGTGAATGAGTTCTGCTTGTTCTACATTCTTACCAACACAGTACTGTCTTTTGCATTTCAGTCATCCTTGTGAGTACATAGACCTACTTATTGTGGTTTTAATTTGCATTTCCCTGCTGATTAATGAAGTAAAATATTTTGTAAGGTTTACTGGCTATTAGATATTCTCTTTTGTAAAGTACCTATCCAAGTCTTTTGCCATTTTTCTATTGGGTTGAATACCTTTTTCATATTGATTTGTAAGAGTTCTTTTTATACTATGGATATAAGTCTTTTGTGGGATACATGTATCACAAATATCTTCCCTACTCTGGTTTGCTTGCCTTTCACTCTCTTATTTGGTATTCATCATTTATAGAATTTCTCACTTTAATGTGGCCATATTTATCAATATTTTCCTTTATGGGTGCTGGGTTTTCTTTTTGCATAGGGGGATCCAGTTTAACGGTGAGGTACAGCCAGTGAGTTCTTCCTGCAGACTCTGATGGAGCCCACTTAGTTCTCTGCCAATTTTCCCATATCTACCCTCTCCCGAGGTATCTGACGGTGGGACCTTAGGGTTATCTGTGTCAACCAAATTGCTACTAGCATATAGGTAGTGGTAAACGGGTAAGAGATTTCCTAGTGCATGAGGGTTTTCATTTATGAGTTATATTTTGTAAAAATATTTTCCTTATTATTTACTTCGCAGTCTCAACATTAGCTGGCACATATATCTCTTTCATCTCATTTCAAGAGGGATTTATAAACAGACTTCAATATGCTTTACAGTGCAACAAAAATTGCCTAGAAGAATAAATGTGTGTGCTTTGACAAGTAGACCTCACCCATTTTCTTCACACGGGCACTGATGCCATCATACGAAGTCATTAACACTATGCCAAAACTAGAACACAGAGCCACCCTATGTTAAAAAACTTCCCTGGAATCAGTAGCACTTATTTAGCTAATAGTTACACATAGGAATAAAAAGGTGTGAATGTAACAGATAAACACAGGCAATTATATTTTTAGAATTTTTAGTAACTACTAAAGTTTTCATTTAATATTAGTAATATCACGTATCAACTAAACGAGTACAATGTCAGAGATGCAGATGAAAAAAAGTGGATCCCTAAAGATTAAAAGCTTTTATAAAGCAGTGAGACTTCTATCTAGGAATAAGGTTGAAACTCAAATATCCTCAGTGACCAGATAGCTAAGAAGGATGAATGAAGCAAACTGGATCTGAGAATTGTGGAAGCTGAAGCAAACAGGAGAATGGATGTGTCTGGAGGGGACAGCCATGGCTACGTTGCAGCAGATTACTGCCATGAAAGAATGTAAGCCAAGTATAACCAGATATTATGATTTTTTAAGAGAAGCTCAAAATCTTATTTTTAAATGTTAGCAGCAAAATAAAAAAATTTAAAACATCATGTCAGCCACATATCTCCCTGCAAAAGTTAACCTATGAGATGTTGGTTTGCAACATCTGAAAGAGATAAATTTATGAGGTAATTTAATCAAGACTCTTTTTATGTATTTTAGTCTCTAAAACATACTTGACTGGATATTATTTCATTTCAAAAGTTATTATATATCATATTTTATTCCTCATGGTGAAAATAAAGCTTACAGTTTTCAGAAATTTTACCTTCTTATATATGCCCAATATAACAGCAAAGAGAAAAGTTTGTATAACAAAGCAGGAAAATGGATTGAAATTGAATAATATTCTCATTTAGGATGAAAAAGTTGGGTAGGGGGGGAGTCACAAAATATACTATGCCAATCCATTTACCTGCATTATCTTTCTGCAAGGGTTTTTTCCCTACTGGCAAGAATGCCTTACTCGTTGCTCTCTTACTGTAGATCCCTTCTTTATGTTTAATGTTCACAGTGGCTGAGAGGTCATCATCCCTCGTGCCTAGCACCTGAGCTGGGAAGTCTGGTGCAATGGCATCGTTGGATCCTATGGAAAAAGGGGAAAGTAATACAATTAACACAAACATAGACATGAAGTTGAAAAAGACTTTTTAAATAACTGCCTCTTAGACCACTTCTATAAAAAAGGTACTACGATGTGAATGTTCTAAGTCAATTAGGAGATGTCAGTCAAACTGAAGCTGTAAGACATGTAGAATAAATTTCAACAATATGAGGCAGAGAAGCAAATGACATAAAAGAAGACATATAAAGTAGAATGTCAGTTCAAGAGGGAAAGTATTTCTAGCTCAGGAGGGGTTATGGACGAAGGAGAAAAATGGATTGTGCCTTGAAGAAAAACAGTAGGCTTTTTAACATGGAGAGGATGGAAGCAAGGCATTGTAGGCAGAAGTTACGGTGTAAGCAAAGACAAGGAGTATACATAAGAATAGTGGATACTTTTGTGGTCAGGCTAGATTGCAGAATACTTTAAGGAGAGTAGTGAAATATACTAAAGAATAATTGCATGGGACAAAATTAAGCAGTATGTGGAATCTCAGGCTGTAGAGTATAAACTCTATTTTATATGAAATGCAACATTTTTGAAGATTTTTAAATATGAGGATAATATGATTAGCTACATTTAGGAAGATTAATCTGAGGATACTAAAGATAAAACACTGAAAGGAAAATGATACATGATAAAGAAATAAAAGGTTTGAAAGTATTTAATTTTCTTTTAAAATATATTTCAATATTCCCACATTCATGATAAGAGAAATCAATCTATAATTAATGCCACATCTAACAGGCAAAAGAACATTTCTAGACATATAAAGGTCTGTGGTAACTACAGAATTATCTGCTACAAAATGGTTTTTCTTTCTAATCCAAGATCCTGTACTTTGTGTATTTCCTGAGCTCCTAATATGTGTATGGCAATAAGAGCTGGGTAAGTACTAGAATTATCAGGACAGTGAAAATAAATATAAATAAGCCGTGAAGGGGTCTTAAGAACAGATTGCAAGGATAAGACCAAGCCATCCAGGTCAAATCTACAGATTATATTGGGGTTCTTCTCAGCTTCTGTAACATTACTTTCTCTTATTATCCTATCTCTCTGGCAAATCCTTATTATCCTTTCTTCTACCAAATCTCTCAATGCTGTAGCTTTTCAAGGAGTCAGACTGGGCTCTCTTCTCTTCCTAGGTCAACTCACTGACTACCAAGGTATGGCCCACTATCTATGTGCTAATGACAACAAATAATGTACCACTGGCTGAGACCTTTCTTCTGAGCTTTGGGCTCTATCATTCCAGGAAACAGATGGCTCTTATAGCATTTTTATGGAAATTAGAAAAAGATATCCTTTCCTCAAATAAAAAATTTTAAGTTATTATATATTGTGGTACAACACAAACAATGGTAAGTGGTGGTCATTCTCCTCACAAATCCTCCCAGATCCAGAGAGTACACAGCAGCAGCAGCAGCATGAACACTTTGTACCATCACCCCTCCTTCTCCAAGAGAGGTGACCATGTCAGGTTCACAGTCAGTTGGGAAACAATTAAGTCTCTGAGGGCAGTGGGTGGATGAGCAAGAGAATAAACCTCAGTGGAGCTGAGAGGCAGCTAAGAGAGAGTACAGCCACACACGTGTGTATGCCAGTGAGTGTACGTGTGCTTATTTTCCTGTACCTGTGCATAGCTATAGCATGTGCAAGTGTAGATTTACACTTGGAACAGCACAAGAATTAACATATTGCTCTAGAACTCTAACTAAATATCTGGAATGTTCATGCCTATCTGTGTGTTTTCATAAAACATAACAAGTTTATGATGCAAATAGTGCCACCTCAATTATGTGGTGTCCTTCGTGTACAACTGCAACATTTATGAATTCACTCTGCCTACATTCAACTGCAGACCTAACATCTCTATGTGGATATATAACAGGAATCTCATTTTTAACATGTCCAAAGCAGATATTTTGATCATTTTCCCCAAATCTGCTTCTTCCTTAATCTCCATCTCAGTAAATGGTACCTCTATTCACCCAGTTGCTCAATCTAGAAAACTAGACATCACTTTTTTCCCACCTTCTCTCTCTCTCTCTCCATGCTCTATCACCAAGTCTAGGAGGATCTATTTCCTAAAAATAAGCTGACTGTCCACTTCTTCCTACCTCTACTGACATCACTCTAATCTTTGGCAATGACTATTGCAACAGCCTTCTAAATAGCTGGTATCTTCACTTTCACTTTGACACTCTCCACCTTGGCTCTCTGCCTTCCCATATATATTCCATCCCTCCATGTAGCAGCCAGAATAAATTTTACAAATGTAAATCACACCACAATTGCCTACTAGAATACAATCCAAATAATTTAAATGGTTTACAAGCCCCTGTGTGATCTTGAACCTACCTATTTTTAACCATTTTACCCATCACTCTGCTCTACCCTGTGAATTAAAATTTATGAGAGGCCATTGTATTGGACTGAGTTTCTGCACTAAGCCCCAACAAACCAAACAGAAATGGAGTCACTCATGCTAAGTGCCACACATTCAAACTAAAACTTTAAGTAAACAGGAAAACCCCCAAGCAGACCAACTTTTCCTAAAAATAGGAGTTTCACTACAACCAACTGAAAAGGGCCTAATCAACCTGAGCTGGCATAAAGTTCTCTCCGTGTTACTTCTTAAAAGGAAAGTAACTTGATATTAACCAATATACTTTCTTTGGTCTTACCGATGATCCTTAACTTATGATTGGGTTAGGTCTTAATAAGGTGGATGTAGTTGAAAACATTATGTCAAAAAATTCATTTAATACACTCAACCTACTGAACATCACAGCTTAACCCAGCCTACTTTAAACAACCTCAGAACACTTACATTGAGCAAAATGATCTAACAAAAAGCCCATTTTAAAACATAGTGTTGAATATCTCATGGAATTTATTAAATATTGTACTGAAGTATAGTTTCTACTAAATGCATACTGCTTCTGACCATCATAAAGTTGAAAAATATTACTAGTAAGTCAAACTGTTTTAAGTCAGGGACTGTCCATATTCCGTTTCCTTGTTCCTGCTCTGGCTACCTTATTAAAACCAACTGTTCTGCCATAGCCAGCAGAGCACTTTCTATGTTATAGAATTGGATGTTGCCCAATTCATGAATCATGAAGAAAAGCCAATTAGATCTTTAAACTACATTCATTGAAATTTTATTTTTAAACAACCCATACTGCCTTCTTTCCATTTGTCAACTGCATCAAGCTCTTTCCTGCTTCAGGGGCTTTGCCTAGCCTGTTCCCTCAGGTCAGAGCATTATCGCCCTCTACTCTTTGCCTTCCTAACTCATCCTTTAGATCTCAGCTAAAAAGTGCCCATCAACACATGAGTGGATTAATAAAATGTGTTATATGTATACCATGGAGTACTATTTAGCTATAGGAAACAATGCTGATATAGCACCGCTTGTATTTTCCTGGATAGAGCTGGAACCCATTCTACTAAGTGAAGTATCTCAAGAATGGAAAAACAAGCACCACATGTACTCACCAGCAAATTGGTTTCACTGATCAACACCTAAGTGGACATACATGAATAACATTTATCAGGTGTTGGGCAGGTGGGAGGGTAGAGGAGATGGATATATACATACATAATGAGTACGATGTGTACCATCTGGGGGATGGACACGCTTGAAGCTCTGACTCAAGGGGGAAGGGGGCAAGGGCAATATATGTAACCTTAACATCGGTACCCCTATAATATGCTGAAAAAAATAAATAAATAAATTTTTCACAGGAAAAAAAAAAGTTTTCCTTGAAAAGACCTTCATAAGTTCCTAAAACTGGGTCTCCTTGCTGGTTATCTTCGTATTCTTTTTTATTTTTTAGCACATATCATTTGTAATTATACACTTATTTCTGCTTTATTTATTTAATATCTGTCTCCCAACTTAAACATAAACTCCATGACAGTAGAGGTCATGTTTATTTTGCACACTCCTGTAAACTGTAGCACCTAGCATAGTATCTGTCTGGAACATGGTAATAGTTTTAATACCTATTGGTTGAGGAAATAAACAAACATGAGCTGACAGCTTTCTGTCATTAAACAAAAATATCAATCTAGTTATTGTGGAAAATTTAGGAAAAGTATGAAGGAAACAACAAAATAAAACCCAACCAAAGCTTAGTTATATATCGTCTAATTAGAACATATACTAGGATCACACTGTACATAGTTTCATTATTTTTCTTCACCCAGGTAGAGATATATTTTAAGTGGAATTTAGGGTTTAAAGTCAGCACATAAGGTGAAACACTTTCCACACAGAGTCAAAATCACTTCTGAAGGTACCTTAGGAAGGCATGTGTTGAAACTTGTATCCCGTCTGCTCAATAAACCCACCAGAGTCCACTTTTTCCTCTGGGCTTGCAACATATTACTGTACCTGAATCTGAGTACCTGATGAAGTACCTGGCTTATGCTAAGAAACTGCACTATACCCAAAAGATATTTCTTAAAACTCTAGTATCACATTCAGGCAAGCAAGAAAAGATGCTTACACTATAAAAGGCAAATGAGGACTACAATGAGCTTTGAGAATGGGTTTATCAATCTTCCATTTCATGCTCTCCCATGGTCATATGAATCTGTTTATTACTTTTCCAGTACAGAGATTTTAGCAATATTGACTCTTACAATCCATAAGCATGAGATGCTTTTCTAGTTGTTTGTGTCATCTGCAATTTCCTTCATCAGTGTTTTGTAGTTCTCCTTAAGGAGATCTTTCACCTCCTTGGTTAAGTATATTTCAAGGTATTTTTTGTTTTTGTTTTTTGCAGCTATTATAAATAGGGTTCAGTTCTTGATTTGATTCTCAGCTTGCTGTTTTTAGTGTATAGAAATGCCACTGATTTGGGTATGCTGATTTTGTAATGTCAGACTTTACTGAATTAATTGATCAATTCTAGGAATCTTTTGGAGGACTCTTCAGAGTTTTCTAGGTATAAGATCACATCACTGGC